CAGGAGAAACATTTGCACAAACACGATGTAGTCCGCCATTGTAATTGTTATGCTTGAAGTTGGCGCAAGCGTTTCTAGTTTTTTTTTTAGTTTTTTTTTTATTGAAAACGTTATGTAAGCAAAGGAGAAAACAGTCACAATATAGAACAAATAAATGGAAAGAAAAAAATAGACAAGACAGGAGTACATAACTAATCAGAAAATATTACATATCAAAGGAAAAGATTAAAAGACTTACATATTTCAATTGTTTTTAAAGCCTTCTTGGTTCACGAGTTAGAGATAATCCCAAAGTAATGTTGTACTTGCAAGCGTTTCTAGCTAAGATGTATGGCGACGTACACAGTGACGTAACGACGTCGTTCGCTGGGCGCTCTAGTCAGTGGAAAAACAAACAGGTTCAGAGAAGGTTCGCAAGTTGAACCAACTCCGATCCAACTTTGAACCAGCACCAGTTCCGAACCAGTTCGTTTTTGGTGGAAAAGGGGTAAAAGACGCTCGCTGACGCCTCGCAGACGCGTCGCCGAGCCCAGAGAAATATGGAAATATCTAGCATGCTATCCAGAGCTGTCGCCCGACTCAACCTCAGTGATGTCATGAGCTACAGCCAATCAGAGCAAGGCATGGGTCTTCGCTGGGTATTAGCGCGCGTGATGTTTCGCGTAATTTCCGGTTCGTTTTATCGCGTGATTTTTTGTTGGGTGACAGAGTTGTTGTCAACTCGTGTAGTGCGTTACCTCCTGTTGCGGATCAATCACGTTGTGTCGTGTGAACAGCTCAACAACTTGAACACTCCTGATTTCACAGAGAGCAAGTCATGTAGTGTGAACCGGACAGTTCAGACCGACGTTTTAAAATCATGTAGTGTGAACTAGGCTTTAATGAATTCCAATCAGTTGTAAATGGGATGCGCGTGCACGCTCATTCTCAATTACCATAAATCCCGCCCATTAAATCCGACTGACAACTATATATGGGCATCATATTATGACATGAATGCGAATGAAAAAAAATAATTTCTCAGATGCAGAAATTGAAGTTTTATTATCAGAAGTTCATTCAAAACGCCACATTTTGGGCGTTGGCAAAAGGAAGGAAGAAAGGAAGCTTGGCAGCATATTACAGATGCAGTTACTGGAGTTTCATCTGTTAATCGAACAGTCCCAGAAGTGAGAAGAAAATGGTTCGACATTAAGCTTGAGAGCAAAAAACAAATTAGTTCACTTCAGAAAAATAGTATCCAAACTGGAGAAGGACCACCATCGCAGATGCTATTACCGGCTCTCATAATAAGAAAAAACGTATGTAATTACTATATATAATATTTTTTCAAAATGCTGTGCAAATATGTACCCGATTAAGGTGAATTAAAATGCAGCCTTAGTTATTAATGAGCAAAACGTTTGGATGTTAAACTCACTATTTACGCGTGGCTGTGAGCAGGTGTAGATTTCTTTCGTACCAACTAACATTTGGAAAATACGAACATTTTAATGAATCCGAAAATTTATACCAGAACCACTTTACACAAAAATTCGTTCTGCTCATGTTTCATGAATGAGACCCATTGTTTCAAAAACTTTCATGCCAATAAAGCCCCTTTGAATTGAATTGTGAGTGTGTGCACGCTGTATGGTTGCTGCCACTGAGCTATAGTCCCATCGATCTAGCTTGTGACGTGGTTGTGTATGATTAGGCAATAGGGGACAGCCTATAGGCTGGTGAAAATCAAGCCGACTCCCCGAATGTTTAAAAATTATCGGGAGGAGCTCGCAACGTGCTCGGCATTCCTCACACACACTGCGAGCCGAGACCATGCGAGCATCACTGTTTTCCACGCGATCATCTGTGAGCTCGTAAAACAGAAAATATCGCACCGGGTACGCCAGCCTTTAATGGACCGAGGATGGGAGTAGGATTCGGTATTCAGCAGAATCTTAACCAGTGGATTCGGTATTCGGCCGAACCCCAAAGATCTGGATTCGGTGCATCCCTAGTAAGAATCAAACTTCTGCTGGTCTCAGTCAGAGTATATTTTCTGCAATAATCGAATTGGATATTTGTTGAGGGCATCGTGGTGGTGTTAACTTACGTCACCACTGCAGCACACACTTCTAAACAATCTAAACCTCAAAGCATTCTATAAAAGACAAACGGACAGTTTATGGAACAGAAAAAAATTCCTTTTATTGTGATTTCACCAAGAACAGTTTATGATCTGGGTCTCTCCTTCTTGCCTTTGTACAGAGCCAGAAGAGAAACGTTGGCCACCTTCACCACCTTGAAACGAACACCAGGGATATCACCCACGGCGTGTCCCTTACGACCGAACCCTGCCACCAGAACCTCATCGTTTTCCTGGAACAGAGAAATTATACGGTTCATTCATGCACTGTTTTATTCTCTTAAACTCAAATATAGCAAATAATGTCTAGTTACTAGGGGTGTAACAATATATCGTGTCACAATATATCGCAATACAAAAATGCAACAATATGTATCGTGGATAGTGACAATATGCATTGCGTTTAGTTCACCGAAAATAAAAATGACTATGCGAGGAAAAAATTCAAGTTTACAGAGTTTCTCAGTCCTACATTAAACTATAATGTTGAATATAATGTAGAATAATGCAATGGGGGAATATTTGTGGATCCTGATAATGCCAAATGTCTTATGTTGCCAGTAAAACGTGGCCTACATTATTTTAAATATATCTAGTCAGAGTGAAAGCATGTTCGTCTAAAATAATTCTGTATTATCAGCTTCAGAATCATCCATATTTTTTATTCTGGTGTCTCTATTGTCCTCTGCATTGGGTTTCCAGCACCAAGTCCAAGCCTACTCATTTACACCCACAATGTAATATCAAATTTAGCATTTGAATCTTTAACCATATGTCTTGGAGTATCGCAATAATATCGTATCGTGAGTGCATGATCGTGATATGTATCGAATCGTGACATGAGAGTATCGTTACACCCCAACTAGTTACACATGCATGAATCCAATTTACCTCAATGAAATTCAAGCAGCCGTCGTTGGGCACGAAAGCTGTGATCTTCTTGCCGTTCTTGATCAGCTGGACCCTGACGCACTTCCTGATGGCAGAGTTGGGCTGCTTGGCTTCAACACCACTGTCATGAGGACAAACAAAGTTAATGTCATTTAATCCTTTGTAAACCTACATATTCATCATTGTCTTGATGAACATCGCCTTACACTTTCTCAAGCACGATGCCTTTGGCGTGAGAAGCTCCACCGAAGGGGTTGGCCTTCAGAGCGGTCCCCAAATGAGCCTTCTTGTACTGTTTATCGTGCCATTTCTGCTCACGGCGGTGGTTCCGCAGTTTTCTAGCAGTACGCAGTCCACGACACTTGCCTAAAGGAGGAAAGAGAGAGAAAGGCATAAGAAAAAGCAGCAATTTCAAGTTGTTCTTATACCCAGAATCCTACAGTAAACATCCATGACATTTTGAATCATTTGCAATTACAAGGAAATCTTTTATACCTATAAAATGGATTAGAACTGAATAAAACTCACTAAAAATAAATAAATCGCCCACATTTTAACTCCAATGTTGTTGTTCACTTGGTGACGGTCAAGAGCTTCAAGATGCTCATCAAAATACAAACCACAATTACAGGTATGGTTGGCTCGATTCATCGTTTAAGAGTCAAAAAGCATGTAAGAAACCTTCTAGCATTCACTGAAGATTCAAACTACTGTTATGATGTCTTAAAATAACCCTAAAAAACCAACGTTGCCATATTTTTAATGCAGAATTTATATATATATTTAAAAGCAAACCAAAAGGCCGTTTAATACTGTGAATTAACGTGTAAATGAAGATCCTCTCAGAGTGTTTAGTGCATCACTGTACGAGCAGCTCATGGCCGCTCCACGATGCCTCCGTTAGAAAACACAAAATAGCTACAAAAACGACTTCATAGCGATCATCACTATGTATAAAGCGATACATGAAGCTTTTACCGACATCTAAACCCAGATAATTATGAGATAATATCAAGTATTACGGCGTTTGGTGAAGTTTTTTTGTCGCCTCACACGTACCCATGATCGCGTGCTCTGAGTCCGGACAGGAAAGAACGATCACGTGACGCTCTGCGCAAATGACTGCTGGAAGGACCCCACGGGAGGCCAAAGCGAGCGCCTGTACAAAAGGATGTGAATTTCAGCCTTTTTTCTTTTTCATACCTCTATCATTTGAATGACAGAACTGTCTGATACTGTAATATATTTATATTTATATGATTTATTTTTTACTGCTATTCAAGTCGAACTGTTTTATTAAACACCTATCTACTTGATTCATTGTAATTGGAGAAAAATGCATAGATTACCATATTTGTGTAGCATTACGGCACTTGCAATGAAATCCAAAGATTATGGCAATGCCATGATACTTTTTTTTGTGCCAGTACTAGTAGCCTACTTTTATAGGTTTCTTTTCAACTGCAGGTTGACTGTCTATCAAGTGTTTACTCTCTAATCTATCTATTTATCTATCTATCTATCTATCTATCTATCTATCTATCTATCTATCTATCTATCTATCTATCTATCTATCTATCTATCTATCTATCTATCTATCTATCTATCTATCTATCTATCTATATGCTTCTTTGTTTGCGATGTAGTTTCTTGTCTAACTAGAGAATAGGCCATTTTTATCATGTAACTCTTACACATGCTGCCCATTAAAGTGCCCTACAGAACCAGTACTGTCACTGTGTAATGTTAATGTAGGTCACACACATGTAAAATAATGCAGGAACAGACTAGCATCGACCTTCTACACAGTTCACAATCAATACCATTGTCTAATGTTCGTTAATTATTCGGCTAATTAGTTAGGTTTATGGATCAGTCGTTAATAGCTCCTGGTGGTTTGTGTATTACTGTGTCAGCAGCGCACGTTCTTTGAAAGGGCGTGGCCGTGTCGCTGGATTGACCCGCCCACTGGACGCTGATTGGCCGCCGCACATGTCAATCATCGGCTGAGGTTGCGCCTGTTATCCAGCAGATTATGAAGCAGCAGTGAGTGTTCAGCATCATCTCTGGCACTCATCTGGATGTATACATGGCATCAACGTGGCGTCCAATGTCTCTTGCGTTATTTTCCTTTGTTTTCCTGCAGATATCCTCGTCTTATGAGCAGCTGTCTGCCTTTGTGGAAGGAAGGTGAGTGAATTATTTTGAAATAACAAGCCAGAGACGTGGTATTTTTATGCATCCCATTTATTCCGATGGTGAAACCAGGAGAAACAAAGACTGTATATTGATTGAAAATATTTTATATGCATTTATCAAGCATTTATGTGTCAGAGACAAACTAGTGCTTGCATCCTTTGTCCACCCTTCATGCACATTGTGTCTGCATTGAGACTCCACTGAAGGGCTCTTGCAGTGAAACACAAGAGAAAATCCATCGGCATCAGTTTACAGGGCAAATCCATATTTGCTACTAAAATTGGAGGCAGAGATGTGTGTGTTAGATAAGATGATAGCAGGTTGGGATGCAGGAATGATCAGCATCACTGAAGGAATGTCAGGAATGTGGAGCATCCTCCTGATATCATGCTTTTATTGATTGAATGAAATATGAAATAGATTTTTTTTAAATGTCTGATTCATAATGTTGGGCTAAACATCACATACAAAATTTGTAGAATCAAGCTGTAGAATCACATTATGTATAATTTATCTATATAAATGAGCCTGATCCGTGTTT